TTGATTAGAATGAGGTTGCAATCAAACAAGATGAAGAGTGCTTTTGCCAGGAGAGGGCAGATCATACAGAAAGAAAGGAGGGCAACAAGAAGATTGTTTTCAAGGCAAAGTTGATGGCATTTAGTAACTGACCAGAAATAATGAAGGAAGGGGAAGAGATGATTCCAGGGATTTGAGGCAGACTGCTCCGGTTGTTCCCAGGCTCATTTATCTGCTTTGTTAGCATTCCATATTGAAGTCTAGTCGTCAGTGTCGATGTAGTGTATTAAAAGCACAGGCCAGAATTGGCAGTGTAGAGATGAAAAATGGAAATTTTCATCTCTCTCTATCTTCCCCATCTCGCTGACAACACCACTCTCTTTTTTTTTTTAAATACCAAGAACTGAACCCCGGAGCACTTAAACATTGAACAACAGTCCCAGGTCTTTTTATTTTGATGCATGTTCTGTCCAAGTTGCTTAGGGCCTCACTAAGTTGCTAAGTCTGGCTTTGAATTTGCTATCCTCCTGCCTCAGTTTCCCAAGTTGATGAAATTACAGGGGTGCACCACCATGCCTGATGACAACTGCATTCTTCAGGTTTCTTGGACTATGCTCTGAAGTGATTCTTTACTTCTTCATTCCTCTCACAGTCCTATAAGCAATATTTAGCTTCACTTTCAAAACTGATAAACAATCTTTTCATTTTTCATCTCTACACTGCCAATTCTGGCCCAATTAAACATTGTTGTTGGCCTAAACTGTGATCTGGTTCCTGCCTCTCCCCTTGCTCCTCATAGTCTATTCAGATCATTGCTATCTCTCTTCTCAAATCCCTTTAATGATTCCTCAAATCATTCCAAGTAAAAGCCAAAGTTCTTGTAGTGGTCCACAAGGCCCTACAGGATCTGGCCCTATCACCCCGACCCCATGTCCTCTCACTGGCCTGGGAGCACCTTCTTCAGATATTCAGGCTACCATATTGTTACCAGCTCCCAACTCCGGCTTTATGCTTTTACTATTTCCTGATACTAATGGATCTAAACCCCTCCCACTACCCTCCTCCTCCATCAGGGCTTTGGAGTGCTCAATGCTATTCCTTGGCCTGAACGCTAGTTTTCCAGAAATCTACATGATGGGCTATTATTGTTATTATTGAAGTTAAGTCACTGTCATATATCTTCCCAGAGTCCTTTCATGATCCCCCTGCATGGAATAACATGATCAAGAAACTAGTTGTGATTGACTTGTCCCATTTAATTTTTAAATTAGCCCATATAACTTGCTATATTATATATCCACTTTTCTATTACCTAGCTTGCAGAATGTAAGATGCTAAGAGATGGACATTTGTCTACTTTGTTTAGTGCTAGATCCCTTGAATCCCGAACAGAGATTTGCACAGAGTAAACTCTCAAAAAACATTTGTTGAACAATTGCAAGATGAGTTTGGAGGCAGCAAAGATACAGGTAAAACACATGGGCTTTTAATCCTGGTACATTGGATTCATATGTCACCTTTGCCTGTTACTCAATATTTGATCTTGGACAAGTTACTTTGCATCTTCATGCCTCCATTTCCCTATCTGTAAATGTAGGTAATAATAAGAGCAATTTCTTAGGATGGTAACTTGAAATCAGATATGTTGAAGCCCTAGGAAGAACAAATTCTTCTAAAAGCAAGGCAGAGCTACACTATAATTTTTCTGAGTGGAATCCTGGAGTCAGATCTTGCACAATTTTGTGTTCTTCCATGAACCTAGCAACAGTGCAGTGCCCAAACTCTACAAACGTTTGTCTCACTGATTTGATGAATGCACTTGTGTTCATTGTCTCATATAAACTTTTTTGGAAAACATTGCTTTATTTAGTATTTTCTCCATTTTTTTTTGCCTTGAAATTTGTAATATTTGCTGAAAAGTTGATTCGTACTCTCATAAAATTTAGATAGATGTTTATGGATTACATGGCTAATATTGTTAAGAATGTACAGCATGGCATAAACATGGAACTCTTGCACAATCCTTTCCTGGACTTGTACTTTTTGAACTGGGTTCAAATCTAAACTGAGCAAGGCCACACACAGGGTGGTAAAGCAAAAAAAAAAAAAAAAAAAATGTATGGTTGGAATGCACTGAAGCCCCTGACTGTGGGAGATGGGAAGTGGTGGAGGTGATCTTTTAAGAACCTGGTTTTTATTTCTGGTCACCTGGCAAGCCAATCTAAAAAAACATACTACACAAATGTGATTTTCAAGCCACACACATTGTCTAGATAGCAAAACAACTTCAAGCATCTCATAATGTTTTGGAAATTATTTACTGAATATGTCAACATTCCCCCTGAAAGAAAAGCAATTGCCTAGTTTTTGGATTCTTCTCATGCAGATTTCTCAAATTTTGAAAAAATAAAATTCTTAAAATAATTACTTGGATATGTATCACTTTTTTTTTAAATGGCCTGTTGAATGTTTTACTACAAATCACTAAATGTGTCTCATTTCATCGTGATCAATCTATGTGTATGAGATTTTACATGGGGTAGAAGGAATAAAAACAGTAGAAGCAGTAGAGAAATTAAAGAATAGGAGAGAAGAGAAATATATAGATTTAAGAACTAGAAAGCGCTGCATAAGTAAATAGTAATACCATTTGAAATTCATAGTCTCCAAATTTTATAACAGAGAATATTAATGCTTCAAGGTCATTTAAAAACAGTAAGGTACACTGTATATGTTTAAAATGAAAGGGATTAGATTTTCTCAAAACAGTGAAGTCCAGGGTAACAGCATTGCTAATAATTTCCTATTTATTGACCCAGTTTTGCAGGGTCTGCTGACTTTATGAATCAGGAACAGCAGCTGAGAGTGTGGGAAACATAATTGTGAGGGTCATTTGCCAAAAAGACTGGGGAATATTTTTGTCTCAAGCAAAAACAAAAAACAATAAAGTTTAAAAAACAATAAACACACACATATTCATTAAACATACATGTGCAACTGATTGTCCTATTTACCCTGTAATTTTTTTTTATGGTTGGTGTGATATTTCATCTTGCAAAACACTCTTCTTCACGGATTAACATTATTTTAATGATTAGTTTTTACCAAGCATCCACACTTACAGGAGGTGTCACTGTTTGAACGCTTGTGCTTGAGTGTATTAGACTATGTACCATGCCTCAATCCTAACCTCATTCTCCCCATTTTATAGACGAAAGGCTTGAAATGCTCAGTGCCAATAGTTAGGATTTGGAGGAGCTCCATCTGTCTACCTCCAGAATCTTTCCTTACTGTATGTGACAAGCTATAAACTTCTTATTTGGCTTATCTGGTACTGGAAAACTACTCTACCGGCACCTTAATGAGTTCGTTGATCTTTAGTCCTTGGCTTAATGTTGGCTAATTATTTCAGCCTATAGATTGAACATGTCGGGAGGGTGAGGTGGTTTTGACATTAGCATGTTGAGGCTGGCAACCTAGTCTCAGCTCTGATCTCATCTTGGTGAAGTCAGCTTGGCATAGCCCCCACTTGCCAGTTGCCTCAATATTAGGTCTAGCCATAATCCGTATACCAAAGACTGCAAGAATTGGTTAAAACAAAACAAACAAAAAAGGCTGGGCCGAATAGATAAGTAGGAAGCATACCTTCCATAGAATGCCAGTTTCCCAGGTCTGCCAACCTTTGCTTTCCAAAGAGAAAGAAGACTAATTAGCTGCCCTGGATCAGGATGTCCCATATGTGCACAGTGATCACTTTTGATTTCTTAGAAAAACAACTTAAAGACTACTTGACACCATTTTATGTGTAAGTATGTAAATATATGTTATATATTTACATCATGTATATATTAATCCATATTACACATATATAATTTATATATCACACATCTGTGTAATATATGCATAAAATATAATGACCAATTATTATTATTTCAACTGATTTACTTGGTAGTAAATGATAGGCTCATCTTCAGATGATCCACATGCTTCCTCTCATTCTTTTTTCTTTTTTCCTTTTTTTTTTTTTTTGGTATTGGGGATTGAACCCAGGGGACACTGGACACTGAGCCACATCCCCAGTCCTATTTTGTATTTTATTTATAGAGACAAATCTCACTGAGTTGCTTATCCCCTCTTTCTTGCTGAGGCTGGCTTTGAACTCGAGATTTTCCTATCTCAGTCTCCAGAGCCACTGCAATTACAGGTGTGTTCCACTGTGCTCAGCTTCTCTCATCCTTAATATAGGTAGGCTGATGTTGAACTAAATGAGCCCTTAAGAACTTTTTTTGTAAGGCACAGGGTGTATCTCTGAGGTAGAGTGTTTGCCTAGTATGTGTGAGGCCCTGAGTTTGATTTCCAGTATTGGAAAAAAAGAAAAAAAAAAAACCTTTTGTTTTTTGTCTGTTATTTACCATGAGATCTGAGAGGTCTGTGCATGGATAACAAATTCACTAATGAGGGTGAAGAAGACATGGAAGAAGAGAGCAGTGAGAGCCGCCTTTTGTGTTTTTCCTGATATAATTGATATTTTCTGCACATGAGGTTAGGATAATCACAATGGATTCTGGTACTAAATTGTTTATTTTGATTTACCAAAGGGCATGTATACAAATCCTTGTTAGTATTATAAATCATGGCTTTTCAAGGGATGCCAATAAATAGCGCACTTTACTGACAAAAATCACCTAATGACTCAGATCTTGGAAGAACAGGCGTCTTTCACCACTCATTCCTGATACGGCTGGAAGCTGGCTTTCCAGTTGAACCTCCTTCCTGTGTTAGCCTCAGAGCAGAAGATGTTGTTGAATTTCACTTTCTGAATTCCTGTAGTGGATTATTCAATAGAGAACGTAGTAATCCAATGCAAAATCAGAAAATAACTGAAAAACAAGAAAGAGGTGGGAAAGGAAGATAGGGAGAGTAAAAAGAGTTAAGGAAGAATGACAGATAAGGCCATGACTATTCCAGACGCTATTGCTTGAGTTACTTCCTGTTTCCGTTTCCTGCTTTTCCACACTTCCTGCTTCTCCCATTATCTTAGGGATGGGGGCCTTTCTCTGGAGGCATGAGTCCTGTGGGGATGCAAGGCAGGTCCTTCAGTTTGTTTTCACATGTTTGCTTAGAAGGGAGGTAAGTTTTATTTCCTTAACTTACCTATTCTTATCCTTTTATTCTTAGAGTGTACTTTTATGTTTAAAATATTAACTGTAAAACCACTCTCACCTCCATTTTTCTTCTTGAAACTGAGGCAGTCTTGTAGGCTAGTTGGCTGCCAGTTTTGTTCTCCATTACCCCAGCTGGATATGGCACACACCCACTTTCCTTTTAAGTTTGCCTGATGAAAAATAATACAATTCATCCTTTAACTTTGGTTTCTTAAAATTTGTACCTTTGGAGATCACATTAATTGGTTCAAAGAACGGGCAAAACTTAATATATAGCAGGCTTGGAAATGATATTTCATGGTATTTCCCCTTCTCAATAGAAACAAAATACTGAAACTTCAGGATAGATTGAGATTTAAGATGTTAGTTGTAGAAAAGGACAGTCTCCCCCTCCCTCCTCTCCTTTTCTCTTTGAAGATACTTCTGAATTTACTGAACTTAGACTAGAAAATAATAGTAAACAGCATTTTGGCAATAATGTGGCCTAGTTGGTGTTGAAGAGTTTAGAGCTAAAAATGTTCTGTTTGTGAAGGAATTTGCTAATTATTCTGCAGATGTTCCTTCTTTTTATCCCTTATGTGTCATAGTTTCCTTAACATTCTCGCCCTCCCTTTCTCTCTTTTTCTGGCTTTAGCTGTCCCTCTTGTTCTCTTTTTAAGCAGGAAAGATAGGTTCAAAGACTGAGTAAAGCTTCTTTTCTTTCCCTGAAACAAGGATATGACTCTGAGCCATGTTTTTGAGGTCTTGTCTAGAGAAGTCCAGTTACTTAAATAGTAACCTCTTCCCGAAAATTCTCTCCCAATTCAGTGACCTGTATATCCTGGATTTGATTTTATTAAGTGAATTACAACATTAAATTGTTTGGTTTGATTTCATTTTTCCACCTAAACTTCTAAGTCCCCCACTAATATAATCAAATATTGGAGAATGAGTTCCTATATTTTTTTTTCCAAAGGATTTAAATGGAAACTTCCCAAACAGTTCTTGAAATGATCACAGAACTATAAAAACAACTCCAAAACATGGCTAAGAATCAATGTTCTTATCTTAAAAAAAAGCTTGTTTTTAAGATTTGCTGAACACTGTAATAAATCACTTAGTCATTTTATATTGATTTTAGTGTTTTGAGCTCCCAAGTTAGTATCAACTTTTGAATAAAGTTCAAACAACTTTGTTTTTATGGACATAATATCTTTCTGTATACAATTAAAACTGTCTAGTCCATGAATTTATTATTAATTTTTTCTTAGAGATAATTTTTCATTTCATTCACATGGTGCCTATTACCTAAACCTTAAAAACACACATGCGTGCACACACACACACGTACTAGTGCTGAGTCAACTCACAATCACTCATAAACATGGTAGATCTCACAGTTCATAGACAGCTTCCTACACATTGTGATTGAGATGGGGCTTTAAGTTGCTCATTCCAATCTTTGTCCCTGGTGACCCTTGCTTATAGCTCTGCTCCACTTGGACTGAAATTCTCACCAGCAGACAGCCTTGCTGGCTCCTGTGTCCTTCTGCTCTTCCCACTCCAGTTTAAACAATTAATGAAGGAACCTGAAACCAAGAAGTTACAGTGAGAAAAAGTGCAGGTAATATGAGAGACCTTCCAATTCTCTCATTTTGTAGGATTCATTGAATAGATGATTTGTTGTACAATCTGATCCCTGGTCAGATTTACCCACCTCAAACCTGATTATGCATATAACATACATTCCATAGCTGGCTATGGAATCTACAACAAAATAATGTAATAATTTCAGATGTTCCTATAACTTCCTCACCACATAAGGAGACTGACTATGATGACACTTGGATACAAATGTGAGTTGTTGGGTAATCTAAAGTATCAGTGTAGTTAAAAAACGTGTTCTAACCAAAGTTATATGGTTAGGCCCAATAGATGATAGAGAGCGAAGAAAGGAGGAAGTTGTTAGAGATGAAGGGATGGTGCAAATAGTTGTCTGTGTCATACAATGAAGTATATTATTAGAGAGGAAGTTTGCATATTATGGGGCAAACAGATATCTCTTTCTCCAAGTTTAAATGATATATTCTGAAATTTATAGTTTTTCCTTTTGAGTTATGTAAGTATGTGTGTTTGATTCAACAGTGGCAACATCACTTCAAATAATAAAAACTAGCAGTGCCATTCCCTATTAGTGTCCCCTTCCTCTCAGAAAATATTCTAAACCTGAAGAAATATAGTGGTGGACTGAGACGAGCCTCTGGAGAGGGTTAGGTTTCCCTAAAAGATATGTGGATTTCCATACCATGGAGATTAGAAAAAGATATGGTGGAGTGAGGTCCAGGCAGGGTAGTCAAGTTAATAACCTGACTAGATCCTTTGTGAAAGCACTTTTTCTTCTAACTATAGATGTCCTCCCCCCTGCTGTCCCCCCAGCTGCCCCTCCCCCACCGTTAAGTGTGCTAGAAGACAGATTTAGATTTAGAATATAATTGTAAGTTTTTTTCTTTTAGAATGTAATTGCTGAAGTTACTCCATACAGTCAGGAAAATCCTTTAAGTGATACCCAAATGAAAAAGAGGGGAGGTATGCTCAGGTACCAAATCAATGTCTCATTATGCTCATCCATGTTCCATTTTTCCAGAAAAGAAGGGACAATACCTCTTCAAGCAGATTGTGTCTGATAATTTTTCATTTCATTCACATGGTGCCTACTCCATGTGATCCACAAGCAAGGAAGGAGCCACTTGGGAGAAGCACCCAGAGCTGAAGTAGGACATACAAAAAGACATCACTTCTAGTGAGCAGAAACCCTTACGTTGATCACCAAGGAAAAAAACGTGAAGCTAAAAGAGAAGAATTTGTAAAGAAATACATTAGGCTTGGCTATCCCACTAACCTGTTTATCTCCAAACTATAAACTCTCCTTCACTTGAATTTGTATTTCATAGTTTCAATCTTATGCTTCAAATGAGAAATTAAAATTCTCCAAGGAATCTCACAACTTCATATAATGCTCTAGTTATCTTATAGGACTTTTCAATTATTTAAAATCCATCCAAATTCCTTTTCCCTGATGACAGCTCCACACTGCCCACTCAGAAAAAGACTCACCAGGAGAATAAATTATTTCTTCCCTTGTCAATGGTAATTTGTGTTCACTAAATTACCTCCAGATCCACTTTCCTGAGTCAAAAATAACTTCATAGTTTTTTTCCCCTCCATGTTTAGCTTGGAAAGACATATAGATTTTGAAGTTAACCTCTCTCTGTTAGATGCTCAAGAATAATTAAGCTCGTTTTCTTCTTAAATCATCCAGATGTTTCATTTTAAGATGGAACAATACATGGTTTATTTGACCTAAACTCTCCTGGAAAGGCCATTGCTTTCATTTGGATAGTCCTGTTTTGCGAGAGGTAAAAATGAAAAACATCTTTAAGAGAATTCCTTTCTCTCTCTCTTTTTAAAAAAATTTCTGGAAACAATGCTTGATATCAATAGCAAACCACATTTTTTAGGAACATGAAAGTTATTACTGATGATGCTTCACAATCTGATCAAATACTTAAGATATAGCCGTCAAGTTAGGATTTTACCTTGTTCTTCATAACTTGGAAAGATTTAAATGTCTTACCATGTCAAGATTTGTTTCTGGCAAGGCATCTATTTACACTATTTCTCTGTCACTTTAATGTTTTCTTCTAATCAAGCTAGGCTAATATGCTTATGGTACCTTTCATATTTTTTTTTGTTTTAAAAATGCTAATAAATGGTTAAGGGTATTTTTTACAACATGGTGAGTGTTATTTCATAATGTTTCATTAGCCACAAATTCTCAAGTCACTTTTAAGAATTCCAGATGCCCTACTGTAGGTATTTTTGCAGCTGTTTTGTGGGAAATCATGAAAGTGCAACTCCTTTTGACAAAAAAGAACATATCTCTTTCCTACAGGGATTGATTTCTTTTACTGTACTTTGTAGGAACACAGGCACTGTAAAGACAGCTGTGTACTGCACATATTTTCTCCATGCACCTGGAGTTCAGATAGTTAAAATATGTTCTAATTTGCAAAATGTTTTGATTTTACTTTGAGGGGAGTTTTTTGAATTTGTTATAATACACTCCAAAGTTACATTTTACTTTCTGGTATTTGTAGCACAAAATTTGGCCTAAAGAAATTCTATCTGCCATCTGATGATTTTGCGTTTGCAGAGAGTTTTATTATTCCTTGTGATTAGATTTAAAAGTTGAATCCAAGTATTCTTTTATGTGGTAGACAACATATTAAATAAGTTGTCTCTGTTATTGGTTCTGCGAACCCCCCAGGGTACCAAAGTCCACATATGTTCAAGTCCCTTCTGTAAAATGAAGTAGTATTTCCATATAACCTGTGCACATCCTTCCACGTATTTTACAGAATATCTAGTTTACTTATGATAACTAATAAGACTAATGCTATGTAAATTGTAAGGGAACAATGACAGGGAAAAATGTGTACATGTTCAGTACTGACAAAAAAAAATTAATTTCCAAAAATAGTTTTCCTCCAAAGCTGACTAACAGCATTATTCCCAGTACTGTACAATCTGTGTAACTTCATCATCTGGAAATATCTTGGTCTGAGTTGTCTCGTTTCTAGTGGTTATTTCTCTCAAACAAAATCAATTTAAAAATGCTGGAAATGGATAGTTAGGCGTCAAGGTCTTTCTTGAATTCATATTGCTAAGATTTTGCTATGAAGTCAAGCCTAGCAAAACTCCAGGGGTAGGATCCATGATAGAAGGAAAACTAGACCAAAACCCCATTTTTTGGAGTTAATTATTTCAACTCAATGCCCAGAGATAGAAAATATAATCAGCAGTCAAGAATTCCATAGTCCAATTAAAAATCAAGTCAGTTTTCCTCAGTTTCTTCACTATTTTGTCCCTTATTTTTATTGCTTAAACCTGGGTTTATAGACCTCAACATGGTTTCCAATGAGATCTATTCATTCCAAAAATACAGAATGTGGGTCAGTACAGCTATGGGGATGACAGCTGAAAAGACACAGTGTTTATCCTTGGGAGTTTGTCATCTGGTGAGAAGGTAACATGTAAACCAGGAATTCCAGTATCCTAAGGTAGCTTCTGTGATAAGGTGGGCATGGTCTTGGATGGACAGAAATAGCTGTCAAGGAGCTGAGGGTACTTTTACTATAGGGGTCAGTGACACTCAAAAGTATTTAGAACAGGAAAGGACCTGACTGACTTTATATGTTCTAAAGGTGATTCTAGCAAAGCCATGCTTTTCTACCAATGCTATGAAGTACTCAGGTATCTTACTGGAAAGCAAAGAATTTCTGTCAGTAGTTATTCTATTATTCTAAATTTCTATTCAGTAGTTAATCTAGCAGAAAAAAACTCCCCAAAGCAGAAGGAGAAGCAACACTCTGCCTTAATCTCCATCTGAACCATCTCCAAAATATTCAGTGTACATGGATTTTCAGATCCATCATCAGTTTACTTGAAACCATTTACACAACTTACAGTACTAAATATTAGACAATGATTTTTTTAAATCCAATAAAATATCTGTTTCCTTGAAGTGGTTGACCTATGAAATTGTTTGCTTTTCTTTTAAAGATTCTGAAATTCATTGGGTCTTTTATTGGATTTATGGGACCAATTTCTTTACATACACAGTTTACCCTCTTTATTGGTGGTATTGCATCTTCATATTCAACCAACTATGGATTTAAAATCTATTTTTTAAAAATTGTGTTTATATAAACATACTCAGATCTTGTCATTATTTCCTGCATCATACTTGCCATTATTACTGTTTATATAATATTAACACTGTATTAAGTAATCTAGAGATGATGTGAAGTACACAAGGGGATGTGTGTATGTTATATGCAAAATACTATGTCATTTTTATATAAAGGACTTGAACATCTATAAATTATTTTACTTTTTTGGGGACAGAGTCATAGAACCAATACCCTGAAGATACTGATGGACAACTGTGTTCATATGCTTTTTGCAATGAGATGGTCCTCAGCCCAAACCCCTGTCCTTCTAAGCAGAAGATGAAGTTATCAGCACAATAGTACTTATTTTGTAGATATCCCAGCAAGATGAAAGAAAGTAAAGCATTTACAGTGTTTCACATAATGCAGCATGTTGTAGGTGGACCAAAAATGTAAGCTTCTGTCTGCATTTGTGACAGGCTTAGAAAATAGTGAAATCTACTTTGTCAGACCATGACCAAACTGCAGGGTGCAGAAAGATTGTGATAGTCCACTTCACTATTGGATTCTGGCAATAGCCAGCCTATGAAACAGCTCGGCTCTCAGCCTGGTCCAGGTGAATCAAGCCAGGACTGGGGCTTTGTAATACTTGTCCAGCAAAAAGAAGGTTGAATTTAAAACAGCAAGAAATAAAGGAAACAGTTAATCAACTTTTTATTTTAAATAAAGTTGGAATCCAACATTAAATTGGGTGAAAACTGGCAGAAAAAATTGCAAATTATTAAAGATATGCAGCTTTTCTTATTTCAGGCAGGTATAATAACTTAAACTATGTTAATAAAGTTTTTTTTCTAGCTAGGAAAACTGAAATTCCTGGTTTTATACAGCAAAATAATAATTTTGCTATTCAAATTTAGAATGTTAATAATGCATGTGAAGTGATTGAAAATGGCTTGTTTTCTTAACCGGTTTAAAAAGATCTCTGAAATATTATTTATACTATTAATTTATTCAGCTAACATTTTCCTCCCTGGATTGTGACTCTGTAAACTTCAGGGCAGATGCTGCTTCAGTATTCTCTAATTCCCAAGTGAAGTCCACATTAATGATGCTAAGTGATATTTAGGGGTGAAAGACAAGGGCCACATCATGGACAAAGTATTCACAGACTTATAAGGTAAAATAGATTCTTAATCAATTGAGACTTTTGGAAAATATGTTCAAAGGATCTCTTTTTCTCTTGAAATATGGAGTGTTACAAAGCACATGTGCTTATGCAGCCTAGATACCTGGGCTAAGAATGTTTTTTAAACTTAAGATTACAGAAGGGAAAAAAAAAACCCTTTCTAATTAGAAAAGAGACACCACAAATAAAATGAGAATAACATTTCAGTTCCCAAAGGCCTACCGTGGTCGGCAGTGAGACACAGGATATGACATTTGAGTAATTAATGGAAAGTCTTTGTAAGTTCTGTAATTATCACACTTTACAGAAAAGCAAAGGGAAGGCCCACATTTAATGTCCCAAACTGGCTCCATCCTGTGTGTTCAGACTACTTCACTGAGTCCTTCAACATCCTGGTGACACTATTCACAATGGTCACAGTTACCATTGCAATGCTGGCGCCAGCAAGCTTTAGTTTGTTAGGAAAAAAAATACTACTTTCCATGTATGTTTAAATAGTACAGACACATAATATTAAAAAAAAACAGAAGCTCTGAGTACGTAATTTGATGCTAAGCCTTTGCAAAATAGGCAGAGATCCAAATATTTTTCTCTGCTAAAAGAGTTTAAAATACATTTCCAGAGGTGACTTGGCTGGAGAAGCTTCCACTAGGGATTGGTGAGCTGAAAAATTGGATTTGGGGATGTTCTGTATTTCTGAGAGAGAACCACAAGAGGCTCCAAGGATTGGCTGAGGTCCAAAAAGAAGGTCAGTTCTACAAACAGGGAAAAATGTGTACATGTTCAGTACTGACA